TCCCAAGTGAACCATGGGTGGGCCCCTGTTGGATGAGTTTTGACAGGTGTATACACCTGTGCAATCCAAGCCCCTGTCAAAATTCACAACATTACCATCGTTCTAGAAAGTTCTTTCACACCCATCCCAGTCATTCCCAGTTTTGAGATATGCCTGTCATGGCCTTGATGAAACTATGGGGGCCTCTTGCTACCTGCTAAATACTCCCTTCCTGCCCTGCACACCAGCTTCTCTCTCTCTACCCCTTGCAGGAGGCTTGAAGTTGGATAGCCCATGGCTGATGGTGTCCGCAGCTCATAGGCTGTACTGGCCACACACAGCCATGTTCCAGGCTGTCCTGGAGCTGACGCTGGGCAAGGCCTGGACCCTCAAGGACCTGGTGATTAGCGTGGCCTGCAGGAGCCAGGGCCACGACAGGGAGGGCAAGATCCAGGTCTACACCCCAGCTACCACCTATCTCCGGGTGAGCAGTGCCCAGCCACGCCCTGCTCCCCTGTCCCAGCAGGCGACCCAACACAGGAGCCTGGTTCCCTGCTGCTGAGATCTTCTCCCCATGCAGAGGGGGAAACCTGAGACCTGTGGGCAGATACTAGCTCACAGATGTGTAAAGTTTGGCTCACCCGTTTCACAACTATCAAAATGAGTTGCCAAGTGAATTTGAGAGAGTGGACCTAAAAAAAAAAAAAAAATCCAGATTTTCCATATTCTTGCTTAGCAGCCAATGAGGAGTAAAATAAAATATGAAAGCAGGTCAAATGGCACCTTGGGAACAAGTGGACATTAGGCTTTTGCTGAAAACCCGAATGAAAATTTCAAGGACATAGGTCAGTACCAATGCCAACTGCTGGCTATAATGAAGTGGGCTTCTTGGCAGAAAACATGACATGTTTGGTGCAGAAAACATGACAGGGTTTGGAAGAAAACCAACCAGCATTATCCCCAGGGTCATGCCCCAGGGAGCCTGGCACACAAACCCTCTCCCTGTCTTGGCGTGACACAGCACAGACACAGAGAGGAGGTCCAGGCCTGACCTCGGCCCATCCGGTGATCCCCTCTGCGCAGGGGCTAGGTGGCTCCAGGGTGGAGTCAGGGACAGTGGGGTGTCTCCGGCGATCTTAGGGATGGTGAGCAGGGATCGTGTGTCAGGTAGGGCCAGGACAGGCGTGCAAGGTGGAGTTGGCCAGCTGGCTCCTGCAGTCGACCCAACCAGAGGGGTGGCGGCCTGGCCCAGGCCATGGCAGTGAGGTGGCACAAGTGTCCAGGTTCCACAGCTGACAGATTTGCTGAAATGGGTTGGCAGTGGGGAGGAAGTGAAGGAAAGCAGACAGGTAACTCCAAGATTTTGGCCCAAGCAACTGGGTGGAAGGAGGTGCCATTTGCTGAAATGGGGAAGCTGGCAGTGGGAAAGACCTGAGGGTTGGTGACGTATGGAACAAGGTGTTACAGAGTTCTGGGATTTGGCCAGAGGCTTCGCAGTGCCCAAACCCCACCTTTTCCCAGGGCTACAAAGACCACTGCTATGGGCAGGGAGAGAAGGCAGCCTGCCAGCCTGCGCCCTGAGGGCACAGAGCCCCTCCCGCTAGCGATAGTGATCTGGCAAGATGAGGACAGAAGGGAAGGAAGTCACATCTGCTTGGGGTTAGGTGTCAGGAAGGAGTTTTTCTCTTTCCTCAGGCCCTGTGTAGAACAGCCAGCCTGCCTGAACCAGTCAGGAGAGGCCTCGTAGAGATGGGATTGGAGGGGTTTTGAAGTATGAGTAGGAGTTCACCAAGCAGGAAAGAGATGGAAGAGCATTGTACGGGGAGGAATAGGTGTGTAAAAGCCTTGGTCGCCTTCCCCTGCCTCATTGCAGGTTTCCCTGGTGACAGCTGTGGCACAGAGCCTCTTCCACAGCCAGGGGGACCTTGAGTCAGCCTGGGGTGTGGCCATGCAGGGTGAGATCCACGCTGAGAACAGCAGGGACCAGAAGATCCTTCGCTGCTGGCTGAAAGTCCCCCAGCGGGAACTGAACCTAACAGCAGCCTACAGGCACGCAGAGCGGGTGAGAGCCCAGGTGGCCTGTGCAGACGAGAGACCGTGATCTCCCACCTGGGTCCCTTCTCTGCCCTCCCTGCTTGGAATGGGAAAGGTCTTCCTGCCACCAGCTTGGCCTGAGACCTTGGGCATCCCTGAGCCTCAGTTTCTTGTTCTGTGAAATGGACCCCGGCCACATTTGCACAGTCCCCAGAGCAAAATTGGCCTCCTCGAGCCAGGAAGCCTGAGTTTGTTCCCGCTGAGTGCCTAGGGAGGTCTAGGCATGGCAGTATGCCCGGGGGATTGTATGGTGGGATTGTGTGGTCTGATCAGGGTGGTGGCTGTAGCCCAGTTGGCAGCCCATTCTCAGGATGTCATTCCCTGGGGGCGGGGGTGGGGGAAATGATGGGCAGCCAGTGGGAGGCCGCACCTTGTCACCCACCAA